ATTTATCACTTTCACGGGTTTATTACGAATCAACTTAACGGCCTGCTCCCAGTTGGCTTGTTAGCTCAATTGGTAGAGCGCTGCACTAGTATCGCAGAGGTCAGTGGTTCGAATCCCGTACAGGCCTGATTTTTTTCAGGTCTGATTTTCGCTATTGCTTAAATAGCGCTATCTACTGCGAGGATCGTGCATCATATGTTTCTTCATGATGCGAACTCTATTTGTTTTAAGGAATCCAAAAATGATATTCTTTGTGTCAGACCCCTGCTACTAACATTTCATTCTCTTGAATTTATTATAAACTGTTTTTAGCGTCAAAAATGTTTTTCCATCGGGCAAATCTATATTTATTACGTCCGTTAGGTCTACAAGCAATACAACTTGTGTAGTTGTTAAGCTCATATTTCCATCCGTAGAATCGTGCATTTAAAATTATAATATACAGCTTGCTTTTAAAGTATGAAAGCCAGGTTGGACAATGATATAATTGACAGCTAAAAAGTTATTTTTGCGTTTTTGACATCTGTGGCCAAAAAATGAAATATCAACTTGACTTTCAAGTTTTAATATCCTATTTTCAAACCATCAAATATCAATAAGTTTAATTTAATAAGATTGCTTTAATTTATGCGTTTAATTTATGCGTGAAGGCTGAAGATGAAATTAATGAAGACTTTTCAATGATAAAACCTTATGTGAAGAAAGTTCTCTTAATGCAGATGACTCGGCACAAAAAATCTGTCGTAACTCTAAACTGAATGAATGTGCGAGGTACTTAGTTTATTCCACTCAATTTTTCGATAAACAGATTGCATGCACCGGGCGAAAAAACGTTTTCTATTTTACGGGAGCCCAGACGACTCTGCACCATCGTTGGTCCTGTACGTATTAATGTCTGTGAATTACGAAAATTAGTGACATTGAAGGTAAATATCTTAGATGGGATTGGTAGATCATACTGATAAGTCTTCGACGCGATTCGGACGAGAAGTTTCTAGAGGTATCGACATTTGAAATCTCATGCACACAAGTACCTGCGTCTATGAAATGTAAGCCATTAAATTATTACCTCCAAGTATTTTCATGGTCCCAAGCCTCGAATATTAAACATGTCAACTATATTTAACTACCGGTAATAGGACAGAAGTTCCGAAACACGTCCTTAAAATCGCTTAAAAGTCTCTCTTTTGTTTAAGAAGAAAGAGGTAGATAATCGTAGGAAGGAAATTCCTTTTCGGCAAATTATCGCTAGCTTTACGCCTTTTTTGTTTGTTACGACATTATTCTGAAGCGATTTTTTTTGTTTTTATTTTGCTGCACATGTGGAAAACTTAATGGTTTTACCCACACATCAATCATTTCACCTGCTGGTTGTCAAATGCGTGTTTGGCAAGCTGGTCCAAAAGCAGATATCTAGAGAATTCCCCTTATCTCCGACTTTATAATTGTTCCGTTTTTGCCATTATGGTACTTAAATAACTTAATGTATAATGAGGTTTTCAAATCAATTGACGGCTTCGGATAAAAACCTTAGCACGGTGATGTTGTACACACAGGCTTTTTATGCGTATTACCGCAAATTTGAAACGTAGGCTTAACATTGATATGATAATTTCGGAACCTCCTGACAAGTTTTCAATTACTCATGACCGCAGCGCAAAAACATTGCCGCTTTCTTGCCACTTTTAATTTTCTTTAGATCAAAAGTACTCAAGTATTCAAAGCCTGAAGTCTCGACAAGATTATTTCAGGAACTGTCCAACAGTTCGCCTTGTCCATGTATGTATGAGTACCTTAAAACCTGGACGAGTCCAGCGAGAAAAAAAGAAATCATATGAAGGTTTGGCTGAACGTTTTTATTCCAGCAGAGTTTGGCTAACTAATTTTTAATATTTTTGTTGATATTTTTATTTAGAGTTTGATTTTTCTTTATGGACTCTCCTAAAAAAAAGTGAAAACCAGTGCCAAATTCAGAATTTTTATGAGTTATTTTGCAATGCCAATGAGATGCTGTTATGTAGCAGAATTTGGTATAAATGGTAATAGAAGTGGAGGCAGTTGCAGATGTAGTAGTAGGTTTTAAGCGAAGTTTGTGAATCCTCCCTGTTGTTAAATAATTTCTTGGCTTTGCGAACACCAGCTGAAAGCACATGTATTTGCTTACCCCTTAATACTTCCTTACATGATTATTTACAATACTGCACATTGTTTACTATTTCCCTTTCACTGAGATTTCTTTTATGAAAAGTCGACTTTCCCAACGTCGTAATCGAACATCGAAATGAGCTCGTCTTTTCAAATTGTAATGCATTTCCTTTCGCCAGACTCCATTAAATGTTTTTTAAGTCCGCCCCCACTCTCTCCCCCACAAATTACTGCATAATAACATTAGCTCAATCTGGGGTCACAGTCCAAGACTCGAAATATTCTGCAGTGTTAAAAAAAATACTCATGTTGACGCGGTATTTTTTGTTCTCGATGGGGAGTTACCTATGATCCTGTCGTAGCCATCCTCACAGATTACGTAGATCACAAATTAATTGCTGAGGATCACCGTTATATTCTTTAACAAGCGAAAGCGGAGTCGAAGAAAAACCGTATTTTATCAAAAAAAAAATCTCATATAATGAGGTAAATAAGGATTTGTTTGAAAATAATTGCAATTTTCTACCCAAAAATTTGGTTAATCAACCGCTTAAACTGCTTTCGCCAAAATTAAAAAATGTGTTGGTGTCAAGGATTCACAGAACAGTTATTTTCTTCACCATTTGTACTTTTGAGAAAAAGAGACCTATTTGTAAACTGGTTAAATTTCAGTCGCGTTTAGTAAATTTATAAAAACCTTCTTGATTACACAGATCCAGACCAAAAACAGTTATGCCAACCGCGAAGCGAAATTTAAAACTCATGACGCGTCCATCTTTCGAACTTCTTGATGGGAGCGAATCAAAATTTGTCGGTATGTTGGTGTGTTGAAATTCAAAAGAAGCCGCCTTGCCTAATTCATAACTAAAGAGAATGTTTTGTTTTTGGCTCAAGTATCAGGTTTTAATCAGTAACTTTGAGTCCTTGACACATGATGGGTGATCTAGGAGGAGAAACAGTACAACAGCGCACTAACAAACTTGTTGATGTAAACTCCGTAAGCCTATTGACGTAGATCACGGCATACCGTACAGCAAAGGATACATCTTTTGGGGCAATTTTCGGAAACTGTGAAAAAAAAAACCCCAAAATGAATGTGACTGACTATTGGCAGGGGTGCAGATCGCTACCTTAATGAGTACTCTAGGACTTTTTGTGTTATAGAATAAAATGGAAAGTTTAATTGAAATCCCATTGAGATCCTGTCTCGCATTGTACGCGTTCAGTATAAAACAAACGAGCTTAAAAACTTAGCAGATAACATACTATTGTGACTGTTCGCATCTTTTTTCGTTCCAGATCTGAAAACAACTTCAAGTCTGGTAGCTTCAGGGCAGGTTTTTGACCTTATCATATCTTGGCGGCGTTTACGATGCATGTTGCAACTCTAAGAGTAGTCCTATGTCTTATGGTTTGCTCCGATGTTCGGCTAGCCAGCAGCGAAAAACCCCAAATTGATTCAATAGTTCAATCGGAATTAGTGCGCAAAGCCCGTGAAATCAGGCAACATCGTCGAGTCCGTCAAGCGGATCAACCTGGTCTGAACCAAGAAGAAACCAAATGCAGATACAAAATCGCCCTGCTAGATTTTCCTCCTTACATAATGAACCAAAGTATTCAGCAAGGATTTATGAAGAATACCCTGACATGGTTTGTGGACAGTGCTTGCTTTGTTAGAAAATCAAACGATCCCATTGCTTGCATAATGGAGCCAGTATTTGTTCAAACTCAAGATGAGATGGTGAAGTTGATTAAGAATAACTCGGTTGATTTTGGATTTCCAGTTCTATCGGATGCAAGGCAAAAACTTACGGGTCTAAAAAGTGTGACACTCATCCGGGCATTTGTATCATCCGGGTGTTCAATGATCGTGAACTTGAAGCAGTGCGAAGCTGAATCACGGGAACAGTTATTGACCTCCATAACGTCACAATGGCCAATACTGGCTTGTATCATATTGCTTTCAGGGATATCTGGTGTAATTATTTGGCTCTTGGTAAGAGTAAATGCTTATCAATGTCAATCTATATAAAAATTCTAAAGCTCCTAATTTACGTAAGGTTAGATTCAAACTAAATTGTTACGGTTTTAGCATGAAAATGGTAAAAGCACTAAAGAATCGAGGGCATCATTTTTTCAGTAAACTGTTGGTGAGGCATACCCTATCACTTTACCGAAATAGAGAGCCAAGAAAAACGACCTAACTGTAAATAAAGAGGAAACTGTAATGCCCAACAAGTCATGGGTCTATAAATTATGTTTGTTTGTTTGTTTGTTTGTAAATGACGTGTGACAAAAAATGTTATGTTTGTGGGACCCTTGACACAAGCTACCGAAAGGATATCTAAATCCAAGTTGCCACAATTTCGGATACAGAAAAACTGCTGCAAACTTTGCGCGTTTTAGCAAGGCCTTAGGTAAGCTAGCGGTGTTTTTCAAAAAAAAAAACCATTTACTCCAAACTAAATATCACCTTTATGTTTGGTTTATATATAATGCATTAAACAGTTATACCGATTTTAATGATAGGAACACCGCTCAAACGCAGCTCACTTTTCACCCTCGTTCACGTTAGGCTCACCAGATGGCTTTTGGTGGGCAGTAGTATCACTTACAACAGTGGGGTAAGTAAATTTAGATTTGCGTATTGGTGATTTTTTCTTAGACTCCGGATCGAGTGGTCCGTGCTCAAGCCCTGGCCGGGGACATTGTGTTGTGTTATTAGGCAAGACACTTTACTCTCATAGCGCCTTTCTTCACCTAGGTGTTTAAGTGGGTACCAGCAAATTTAATGCTGGGGGGTTACCCTGCGATGGACTAGCATCCCATCCAGGGGGGGAGTAGATCAAGAAATACTGCTAGTCACTTCATTCTATGGAAACCGGAGTTAAGCGCCGGTCTGGTGGGCCACTTGACTCTTAAACAGACTTACCATGCTAAAGGAGGGAGGCGGTCTGGACTAGTGTTAAGAATGTTGGATATGAATCAGGTTTAAGTCCTCCACCCCTCTACTCCCTAAATTTGTCTCTAGGTAGCCCAAGTTCGACTCCTTGGCTGCGCTTTGTATAAAGCCAAATGATCAGCCTCCTGCCAATTGGGATATTCATGAATCCACTCATTTATTTATTCTTTCGTATTGACTCTGAAAAGCTCCATCGTCCGTGGAGTGATCAACTAAGCATCCATTCATAATTCATACGCTTACCACACTATCCTAAAAGTGCGGAGTTGTTTGAATCCTTGTCTTATTAGGTATGGTGATAAGACGCCTAAAACCCTCTGTGGACGTGCATTTGGTATCATGTGGATCCTGATAGGAGCGATAATGCTATCGTTGTTCACCGCCTTATTTACGAATGCTATGCAAGCTTCCTTGGATGGTACAAGATGTAGGGACATTGGTGGCAAAGACGTAAGTAACCCCAACACGCATGCCTTAAACCCTTTGCAATCTTACAGTATGCATATGCTCCATACTATTCTTTACGAATTTCTTAAGGTGCCGATGAGGAAAATTTTTTAAACAATCAAGAGCTCCTTAAGTCGGTGATCATTTCCTTTATTCTCGTGACCTTAATGTTTTATTCAGGGGGTGATATTGTAAGGGAAAAACTTGATGCTGGACACTCTTAGGGGTTAAATTAATCTGCTCGTTTCAACTTAGATTCCCTACATTTTTCGAGTTGTCTCGACCAAGCCTCGAAGGGTTTTACCCTGAAAAAACTTACATTGCAAATAAATTTCATTCTATCCTCAACGATCGAACTCAGGAACAACGAAAAATAGACCAAGGAAAAAGGAGATTAAACCTTTGAGCTACAGGATCTGGTTGTCCAAAGCTGGGTTCAGATAACCCAGTTTTAGTCTGAAATCTTATTTCAGATCTGAAAGCCTTAAAAGAAAATTCAGTATAATCCTTTTTGTCTACAATTACTAGATGCTCTTAAAAGAAGAGAGAAACTTGTTCATAAAATGCTTTTGAACAAAGGAATAAAGAAACCCGGATTAAATTAACCCTGGGTTATCGCTAATCGGACTTATAACAGCAGGTCCCTGGATGAATGAAATAGATGAGAGTGGCCATGACTGAAAACATAAATATTTTTGTGATCCCTGGAGTAGAAAGAGATTTTGAGCTTCCCGAATCCAAGTTAGCAAGTTGTATTGAAGAGTGAAATTCACGTTAAGCAATTTCAACAGATTTTCCAAATAAAAAATTGCCTAAATTCTGTTTCAAATTATGGCAAAAATTACGTTAGCAAAATTTGTGAGGCCAATCTGGCACATAAAAATTTATCGCATCTCAATTTACTTGTCAGGTGGGTGTGTCAAACAAGAATCCTGAAACACATATAGTCGCTAAGGAGCTAGATGCAGACTTTTTCAGTAAGTAACTCATTTTATGTTGTCTCAATGTCCTGGTATAGCGTGGTACATGAGGATTTTCCTGCAGGGACGACCACGAAAGTGAAGAAATAAGCTTTGAAATACTCTCTAACTCCAAACATATTTCGCATATGCAGGTATCATTCGACTGGCGGGGCAGATCTAGAGGTAGAAGGAAGGGTTATTTAGATAACTAGTTATATTAAATAACCAGCTATCTAATATAACTTTGCGATTATACAAAATCTGCCGAATAGTTTGCTACGTATTCTCAGCAGTTCACATCACGTTGTTTTCATAGTTATAAGCTTTCTTCTTCATTGTTCACTTTTGAAATTTGTTTAAGTTAACCGTTAGTTACGCCATTCTTTACGGTTGCATCCCTCCTAAGAAAAATCCTGGATCTACCCTGGACTGTGTTGTCTTTTTTATTACAACCGCTTCGAAATGAAAGATCCCGTTTTCCTACCTTTCTTTATTCGCTATCTCTTCGCTTCAAGTCTTCTTCCCTAGATAATTCTAAACGTTTAGAGAATCTTTGCGCTGCGACATAACTTTTTTTCTCGCCAGTCAAAACTGGTTTGAGGTGATGCAATGATAGCTGATGTAAAATGAATCGCAGCAACTATTGCCTTTGGAAGAAATCCACACGAAGCGTTGGTCGCCCAGTGAGTTCGGTGGTAGCTATTTTACTCCCCAGATCTAATTCCCATTTTTCCTCGCTGTCCACCAAACATTTTATATGATATTAACTGTTAAATGTTGCGTTTAATTATGCCCTAACTAGTATTTCCTTTCCTCCATTTACCTCTCCGACTGAAAGTATCAAAACTCTGAGGAAAAAATTTCTCCGCCCTTGTCACTCATCGGAGTGAAAAAAATAAAGAAAAACGTTCATGTAAGAATTTGCGTTGACAAACTAATCAAATACACTTGAACCAACAGAGTTTAAAAACCTGGACGAAATGCAAAGACACCTAAGCCAAGGAAAAATTGGAAGAGTACTGGTGGATCGCAACACTGCATTTTACTTTTTGGATAAATCTGGTTTGAAACGAAACAGGCAAATCCGAATGATTCGAAACATTGATTATCCAATGGAGTACTACCTGGCTCATGTGAGCCGTGAAGTAATGCCAGCTTCATCGGTGTCACCGAATGACACGGACGAATCCGAAGACGACGTATTGCAAAGAAAAAATGACCTTTCAATTTGTGGAGAAAGTCTGAAAGCACTATCACCGGATTTGGTTGCAGTTGCAAAAGACACTGCCAAAGAAAATCTTATACCAGCCGAATTGCAGGTACTGTAGATATTTTTTTGGATTACACATATTTTACTACGCCCCATTTTCTATTCATGTTTAGCAGTTGTTCCGATGCAGTCATCAGTTTGAAATTTGTTTATTTCTTGCAGACAGCGGACTTGTCCGATGAAATGGAAGGATTATTCTCCACTGGCTCACAAATGACCAAGTACATTTTGTTTGCGCTATTGGGAATATTTGCTGTATTAATAATCATGGGTAAACTATGGGAAGTTTACACCAATTGTAAGCCAACAGTGCGAAAGAAGAGAAAAGGTAACTGCCNATGGTCACAAATGCTATGAACACTGCTATGGATGGTTCAAAATGCAAAGATATCAGCGGCAAAGAGGTGAGAGTAAGCTGAGATGAAGCTGACAGTGTTGTCGGTGTTATTTTCTTTAACTTTGCTCAACCGACTCATTTTGCTATTTCTATGGATTTATGTTCAGTTGGTAAATTATAACCTTTAAGGCAGATAATAACCTTACACAAACTAGAATATGAGTATTCCCTTCTTCTCAGCGATCGAAGTCCTTCGCACCAATAACAAAAAAAAATAATAATAATAACCGTGAAAAAAATTGATGTTAGCGCATTGCACAGTGCCTCACGCCTATATTTCTAATCATTAATTTGTGTTTTTCGTCCACTAATTTTTGACTCGCGCGACGGACTTATGTGAAGAGTGGAGACTGCTCATAGTCTATGCACAAACTCAAAGATAAAAAAGAAAGAAATATGAAACATCTCACAGGAAGCCACTCCTGTGCGTTTAACATCAGGGTCTGACCCGTTGCGAAAGCCTCCTTAACTTTCTTCATAAAATCCATCGCTAGAAATACCCTACACTAATTATTAGCAAATTTTTAATTGAATGAATTACCGAGTAATCACGCGAAACACCCAAAAATATGCAGAGATTCTAAGATGGCCTATAATTTGTACGTTTACAAGAAAATCAAATATTCTAGGTTTACGGTCATCTAACTGACGACAAATGCACAAGTCTTTACCAGGCCTTTGTAAGTTTTTCCATGTGCCATATTATTTTATTTTCCATTTGCGAAAGTAATCATACACGCACTTGGGACCTACCGATTACTGACTGATGGCATGTGAGTACTTACTAAGAGCTTCCTTATAATAGCAAAAAGGTTAGAGGAAGTGGTCGCATTAGAGGGGGGAGAGGTTAGGGAAAAAGGGTAACCACACTCAATACATGCGTAAGGCTTTCTGCCGAAGGACTTGTGGGTAGAGAAGATAAAAACTGTCTTTTTTTGTTTTCATATAATGGCATTTACCTTAGGTTGGCGTGTTTATCAAAAATACAGAGACGCAACTAGTGGCAAAACAGTACGACGCAATGATAATTGGTAACTAACTATTTTTGCTGAGGTTATTTTTACCGACAACTTTCGTTTAAAAATAAAGTTTACAAATGCTTCAGTCTTCCCTCATCCTTCGTTCAGTTAACGTGACGATGCCTTGCTGGATTAACGAACATTGCGCATGCGTTCCTGATTCCAGTCCCACCGAAGAACTCAGAGATAGTTCAGCGTGTACCTGATAACGTTACGGTATTTCATGTGTGGGGGGGGGGACACACTCGCCTCATTAGGAGAGGGAGGGGAAAGGGGATGGGCTTTACCTCCAGTCCCACCGAGGACTCAGGGATAGTTCAGTGTGTATCTGATAATGTTACAGTATTTCATAAGGGGGGGGGGGGCACACACTCGCCTCTTTATGAGAGGGAGGGGATAGGGGAGGGGCTTTAGCTCCAGTCCCACCGGAGGACTCCGGGATAGTTCAGTGTGTACCTGATAATGTTGCATTATTATCCAACTATACTTCGTAGAGTACAAATAACGCCATAGACGAGTACAAATATCACGCGGTATTTGTGCTTTAGAGTGCCGCTTAAACAGGTTTTCTCGCATCGCGCAAGCGAAGAGTTGAATTGTAGTTACAAAAAAAGAAAGGCGGATAATTTGAATCATATTTCCGACGAAGAAGAGTCAGAATGGCTGGCAAATATACATCCAAGTTTAATAGATGAATCCANGAAAGAAGGCTTGCAGAGTTGAATCCTTCTTCCGCGGTTATTTAGATGCCTCTTTTTGTGTCTTAACTCTTTAATTCCTCGAAGAGATTAACGCATAACCTCTCGTTAAAGTATTCACACATTATCCAGCATACAGGCAATGAGAGCACTCACATTTATCAGGTAGAAGTTATTATCTTGCCCTAACTCCAAACTCTCGTATCTAATTTATATGGAAATTTCGGTGGCTAGAGGAGAGAATTAACGAGGTTGATTGTCGGAAAACCATTGCGTCACCTGTTTCGTCCAAATTACAAATCCGTTCAGTCGCATGGCTAATCTGAGTTGCTCTTGTGGACAGATCTCAATTGGTCATGTTTGTAACCTCCAATTTTACTTTAACAATCTTTATATTTCTAAGTATCTGGAAAGTCATCTAGTGTAGATCTAGAAGAACGAGAGATACAGGATAACTCTTGGAAAGCAAAACACCATCTTTGTCCTTTAAAATTATTCTGAGAGGATGAATCTTTTTCTCTTTAATTTGAATGCATTTTCCTTTTAGACTGCTGACTTGTTTGATCAAATGGATGGTTTATTCTCAAGTGGCTCAGAAATGACTCGGTTTATCTTATTCAGTCTTCTCGGGATACTCCTTGGACTTGTCATCATCGGGATATTTTGGGAGGGCTTGAATTCCTGTAATCCGGCTATTCTAAAAAGAAAAAGTAAGTTTAGCCCCTGTCCTTTTGTTTCGATTTAAATTTTCCTTGCTCTACCCTACAACTAAGGTTGACATTTTCACCAAAGCAAAAAATACAGTGAATAAAGTTCTGAACGAAAGGATTATGGGGATATATCATCAAATTAAATAATGTAAGGGGAGGCACATCTCTAAGCGAGAACCTGGTACGAGCTACATATGAGGTGCGATCTTCACGGGCCTAAATCTCGTTTTGTAACCAATGAGCTTTTTAGTTTTAAAATGGTGAACTGCAAGCTCTGTACTGGTAGGCAAGGGTAAATTCTCATAGTATTAAAAGGATAATTACGAGGTTTCATCAAATCAACCCAAAAGAAACCTAACTTTGCGCCTAATTCCCCATTTTTAGGTTTTCATTCCGTTTCTAATAAGCATATTCAATTAATCCTAAATTTCTGAATGCTCGATGAACTGCTCCATCGAGCCGTTTTAAAGACAAGACAAAACATTCTTTCAAATATTGTGTGACAGTGTCCCCTCATCCATTAATTACATAGTTTACATCCTTTTTTATCAGGAATTATATCAAGGAAGAATAAACATTTGAATGTCGTAGATAGTGGAAAAGAGTGTGTTTTCCCTGCAATGTTGTGGCAGCAATTTCAGATCAATCAATTCTTTCAATCTTGGGGTGAGCAGAAAAAAGTACCACACTCTTTAAGACGTTTTTCCATTCTGGTTTTAACCGTCATAAGGGGAGCAGACATTCCTTATCGCCTTGGGAGGGTGAGTTAGAGGATTGGTGGGAATGCGTGGGGTTCAGTGGGACGGTGGGGGGGAACCAGACGTCTCTAACAGAGTTTAAATGGGAAACTATAGAAAATTGACTACTAATAAGGCAGAATCATCAGAACACTGCGTAGTCTCATGGGGAATTAGGTAAATTGCGACACAACCGAAATCCTCCGGCCTAACCACCGCTAGCTCCCCGCTCCCTGCCTACCAGGTCATAGGTAATGACCGTTCCCAAAGAAAAATTTATTTTTTGCTAAATGACATATTGACAGTTCCACTTCTTTAATTCTTCAGATAAACACAAGAATGACCAAGGAAGCGAGAAAGATCATCCAGGCCACTTCAACAGGAAGAGATTCGTGGTCGAAAATTTTCAGAGTTTCGAAAACAGACTCAGAGAATTATCTGACGACTTGCAGA